CAGTCATTGCGCGCCCTGCATTGACTGCTTGGACGAGTCCTTGCAGTTTTTAAGGCAATTGTTTTTCGGAAATGGTTTGCCAGAGCCTCCTTCCTAGAGCAGAGCCCAGCTGGTGAGCGCAGGAGGCGGGGTTTCCGTTGCTTTGCGCCCTACGCATTCAAATTCAATCATATATATAAACAAAAGCAAATTTGTAATTTAAATGGGGAAAATTAGATGGCTAGACTATAATAAGGGTTTTCAAAGGGATAAACAAACACAAATTAAGTCACCGACCCACCACCATCATCATCATCCTCCATCTAAATAGGAACCTACTAATTATTTTAAATATGGGGACAGAGCTAATTCTACTTTGAGGTTCTGATATGTACACCAGAAATTTACGGCACTAAAGGGAGAATAAGAAGTCTTGAAAATTCAGAGATTTCATAAGTCACCTGTCACTTAATCAGTAACAGCTCTGAAACAGTTCAGGGTCCCACCAATCAGTATGAAAATGGGGTCATGGCAGGTCAACTGATACTACTGAAATACTCAATTTAAATTAAAGACCAGTTAGAACATGTATCAAATATATAAATACAAAGAGAGAGAACAGAATGGATGCTGAAAAAATTTAGTAAGTAACAGTACCTGAATATTCTTAAAATACATCATAATTGAAAATTAAAGCAGGAAAAATTAGGCTTTCTAAACAATCACAAACCAAAGTATAATACATATAGCAAATATCAACATGTGGGAGCATTTTCAAAAGCAACCCCTACCACATTACTATTAAAGCTACTTCTTCATACAGATAACATAGAAGACAAAATGGCTGGTTTTAGAGGAAAACAAAAGATTCCCTTCCCTGCCCTCTATCTCCCAGTAGGAATTCATGCATGAAAGGAGGACAATTTTCTCAAAACTACATATGCCTCACATGCTGCTTCAAAACAGCAAAGCTTTGCGTGTCTGGCTCAGTGCCAGCTGACAGCTCAGCTGGAAATCAATGCACATTCTATCCCTCTTGCAACATGTCACTTCTGAATTTTTCTGCAGTAAAAAGTTTATTCAACCTCTTTCTCAAATGCAGTGGACCGACCATCATTCTGCTATTTAATCATAGTAGAACAAGTTATTTTTTTGACAGCACTAAAGCCAGAGTGCAATTCCTGATGAACAGCTTGATACAAGTGGAATTTCAACTGCTTTAGCCTCAATTAATTTTGCTGTCAAAACAAATAACTGTTCCTAGTGTTTAGATGTAAAAGCTCAATCACAAAGGTTAATTTTGTATTACAAACACACACACAAACTTTCTGTTGCTAACTCCTGATGCCATTTCATATTTAACATCAATACAAATATTGAAAACTGAATTTAAGAAAAATACATACTAAACTATAAGTCTTCATATTCTTTAACAATCATATTTATACTCACTGCTAAGTGAAAACCAAGTTATTTTATATAATTTTACAAATTTATCACAATATTTATTATTCACATAATCACTACACAACTAGTTATTGAAAAAGTTAGCATATGAAGAATATTTATACAGTATTTTAAAATATTTAATATGAGAAGACAATTGATCCTATCGGTACAGCATATAGTAAAGTCATTAACATTTCTTCAAGATTTTTCTTTTTGGAATAAGTCACTGATTTTTACTATTTGTTTCGGAAACCTTAAAACTCACGTTCATTTTATATAATTTCTTAACATGAAAAGTTTTATTTACAAAAACGTTTACAGAGAAGTTGGGACAGGAGTTGTATTAGTCAGTACACTGCACCAAGTATTTTTGTGAAATCCTGTATTAAAAACACATATTGAACTTGGGCGAAATAGAATACTCTAATGCAGGCCTGTACAACATGCTTGTGTGGCTCGCTGGCATTTTTTGAAAAGCCAGCAAATCTACTGCTGCCAAATGTCACCACCAGAAAGGATCCACTGCTGCTGCCTAGTTTTTCACAGCCACCTCTGTCCCAAAAGACACTCTACCAAGTCCCCCTAACACCTCCAGGACTCACCAACCCTGCCAGCTCCATCATAGCCGCCGAACAGCTATTCACCAAATAGGTGATCAGTGTGCCAGATACTCCTTTATGGCCCACAATTATTTTTAATATATCAATGTGGCCCTTTTACCTTTTTTTAAGTTGTGTCAGCCTGCTCTGTGTTTTAGATGAGAAAACACATCTGGCTTCCCACTAAGTTTTTATCTTCACCCCCACTCCAAGAAATTGGATTTAAACTGAAATGGTTTAGATTAGTCCATTAGCATTTCACTTGTAGTTGCCAGCTTCAAAACAAACAACCTCCCCCAAACTCAGCAGTCCTTACTACTTACTGGTTTTGAAACACTCTCCATGCATCATTAATTCCATAGGCATACCTACTCTGCCTATTTGGAGGAGAAGAATTCATGGTGGAATGTATTCTGAATTCAGCTTCAACAGAATATAGAGATATAAATGTGATGTAGTTTTATTAACTTTTGAAAGTTGGCATTAGCTCTGACTAACTCTGACAATCAATAATAAATTAACTGGCAAATTCTTGTATTTTATTTTTATACAGTTTTTAAGAGTAACCATGTTGCTTTTCTTGCTCTGCTTTGGAAACCCCTCAGCTATTTTCCTCCAAGACTTGTACTATGGGAGTAGGCTGAGAGGAATCTTCTTCCACAGCACTGTCAAAGTGCTTCCAGGCTGGGCAGATTCTGCAAACACTGAAGGCAATACCGCAATTAGTAAAAAAGCTAAAGCTGCTTAGCATAGAGGATCTTTGGTCCTCCCATCAAAAGCTTTGGCTGGAAAATACTGCAGAGGAAGCACCACCCAACTCTGGCAGCCTGGAAAAAACTTCATACTGAAGGTCTTCCACAATGGACAGCTCTGGTAAGCACTGTAGGCCATCTCACAACATGTGCCAGTGCATGCTGAAAGTCTTCTAGGTTGGGCTGCTTCTGCACACATGGCAGGCAATCCCAAAACTGAGGAGTCTAGAAACACTTGGACCAATGCTGGGAAAGATAACTGAGAGGAGTCTTCTCCTGCAGTGGAGGACCAAAGCAGTTGAAGACCACCTGAATTGCTTTGTTGAGGCAAATCAGGTTACCTCTGTAAGACTGTGTACAATCTCAGGTATGAAAAGTATCCAAAAAAAAGAAAAGAAAAGAAAAGAAAAGAAAAGAAAAGAAAAGAAAAGAAAAGAAAAGAAAAGAAAAGCATAATACACTTGAAAACTATTTTTCTACAACATAAATGCTATTTTAGGGAATTATCATTAGTTTTCAGGCTCAATAAAATATGTTTAAATTAAAGGTGAACGTAAACTGGATTTTTAAAAAATAAATGTAAATGTTAATTTTATCTGGCTGGCCTAATTAGTCTGGATATACAGGTAGTCCTTGCTTAAAAACAATTCATTTAATGACGGTTCAAAGCTATGACAGCCTTGAAAAAGTGCTTTACAACCTGTACTCGCACTTATGACCTTGCAAATCGTCACACTACTCCCTGTGGTTACAATGGCAGTAAAGTGAATTACCACAGTTGTTAAGCAAATCATGTGGTCATTAGGCGAATTCCAGCAAAAAATGTCCATTCGGGAAGCAGGATTCATTTAACGACTGTGGTGATTAGCTTTATGACTATTGTAAAAATAGTCCTAAAACAGGGTCTGGTCGTGTGGTGACTCACTCAATGATCACCCCGCTTGACAACCAATTTTCCAGTCCCTATTGTGGTCATTAAACAAGAATTACCTGTAAGTACATTAGAAGTTAATCTCAAGACTGAGTCAATTTCACTTGAAGTACATTGAATTGAAGGAGGACTTGAAGGCACATGAATGAATGAATGAATGAATGAATGAATGAATGAATGAATGAATGAATGAATGAATGAATGAATGAATGAATGAATGAATGAATGAATGAATGAATGAATGAATGAATGAATGAATGAATGAACAGAGTGATAAAAAAAAACCCCATGTAACACCATCAGCAGTCGAGGTATAAGAAACCAACAACAACAATCAATATAATCACTAAACAGACTCATCTGGATCCAAGCCTGATGGCAGAACCATGTCTTTATGGCCTTATGAAAGCTATTAAGAGTTTCCAGTAGATTAAAAACAAAAAACAACTCACCAGGTCTGTCTTTGCCTGTGCCTTTTAACTCAGCAAATTTTTGTATCAGACTTTCAACTGTTGTGTTTGCCATGTTATTTACAAATTCTTCATGGACCTTTGAGGAAAAAATAGTACAACAGAAGATGATTGAGGGATTTCAATATTTCAAAACCCTCTGAAGATGTTTTCAGGGGATATAGGAGCAAAGATGAAAGAGAAAGACAGATTGTGTTGATTTCCACTTGTGCAAGTATTAAATACAAGTATTTTTTAATATAACTACCGAGTTCATGGAGACTTATTTCTTATCTGGAAATGTCAGCATATGAAAGGCTTTAGAGCAAACCAATTTTGAAGGATTTATTCAGAGAAATGCTCTCTGCATCAGCTCAAATATTTTGTATTTAAAGTATTTAATACTCTCTGTTTCTTGCAGCCTCTGTGAAAGACAGAGCCAGGCAACTTCATTCTCCAATTTTTCTTAATATTTTTTCTTTTTACCATAAACTTTTGTTTCCTCTTCTAACTTTGATCATATAAGAAATGGCTTCCATTCTGTACCTTTTTCTGTATCCTTGCTGTTTAACTTAGTTCAAACAGAGTTCTTTTTTTCCCAGTTGTTATTTCTCTCATCATCTTTATAAACCTTTTTGATTTGTCCCTTAGTGGAAGTTTTATTTTTCAATTTCTCTGAGTACACCTGAATTCTTACTTACTGAATATTTTATGTTTGGGAACTTTTCACTTGATGTTGAAATCTAAGAATCCTGAACAATATGCTATAGTATTTGATCGAAGTAATTCTTAGGCTTACATATTTAGAAAGCTTAATTTAGCTAATTAGATATGGACTAAATAAAGTTAGGACTTAATATATTTTTACTTATTTGCCACTTTAATGTTATAATTAATATGAGGCAGCAGCTTCATTTCCCATACTTGAATGATTGTCTATATGATGAAAATTTATTTTATGCCATATTTTCACTTTTTGAATAGTCCTTTTGTAAATAGATTTTCAATAAAATGTAAATCTATTTTTCTTTTGGTATAGTTCTAGTATAATGTAATTCTGCATATGCTTGCTACAACAATTCAAAATAAAAAACACACCTTTAATCAATAATAAATATAAAAAGAGGATTGGGAAGATTTGTGAAGATTTACCATATTTACAATGGATTTAAATCTAGTTCCTTATGAACTAAAGGGAGGGGTATATGTTAATTTATCACTTGTTTTTATCTAGCTTTTTTCTTACAGTGGTTTCCTACATCTCCAGATTATTCTTGTACAGAATAATAGATTAAAGCAGATGTTTGCATAACATGGATTAATTTTCTGAGGTATAGAATGCAGCAATCCTGCATGAAGTAAAGATTTTTTCTAAAATGCACAATTACAGGAAAGGAGATATAGGCTGAAACACACACACACACACACACGCACACACACACAGAGCATAGGAAAACTTCCCAGTGATCCAAAGGGAAGAACCACATGCTGGTTTCCGTCTTAGATATTAGCTAAACATAATCAAGAGCCAACCACTAGTATTACAAACTACCAGAAACATGAAAGTTTGATTATGCCTTTGAGAAAAATGTATTATTCATATTTTACTATTATTTATTGATAAAATATTTGCTCTCTATATAAACTTTTTGTTGTTACTCGAGATATGAAAATATTTAAATTAAAAATATTATATTATATAATAAAAGTAATATAATACAATATTTAAAAACTGTATTACAGTTATCCCATTATATCCTCCCAAATGATTTCAAATATTAAATACAAGTCTTGATAGGATGGCAGTTCAGATGCAAAAGACTCCCCAATTCAGGGCACAATTAATAAAAGACTCTATCACTAACTCACCTCTCCAATCTGTAAATGAATTTCATTCACTGTACTTGAAAAACATTCTATAATTTCTTTCATATGGAAGAGATGCATTTCTTCAATATCTTGAAATTTCTGTAGTATAAAAAGATTTTAATTCAATGCCAATGACAAAAGAGGCTTATGTTTAACAATTCTTCTCAAAAGGAACATTAATGCATATAAGGAACAAAGTGGCCCAGATTAAAAAATGTCCCGAGCTAGGACTTATGCACAAACGTTTCCTCTGAAACCCAGTTACAAATATTCATATTCAACCAGGATTTTGTATTCTCTTCTATCAAACTCCTTGCAAAATGGTACAAAACAAAAGGAAGACTGTCTATAAGAGGGGAATTAAAAATTAAATAAGGTTTTAGATATTTCATATGTAATGGGTTGAATTCAGACTTAGATATGCTTAAAGTAGACATTCTAGTGAATCTGCTTCATAACTTTTATTCTAACAAATAGGAGATAAAGCTTACCTGGGAAGTTTCATTCATCTTCTGTTCAAACTCAGATTTTGCTGCAGCGTATTTTTCTACATATAATTTGTACATTTCAGTAGCTTTCTTGGATTTTACTGCCGCCTAGACAAATTATAGAGAAGGAAGATATTTTTACAATAAATTTAGTTCTGGCAGCAGATATGGCTGGGCTTGGGAGCAGAATTAGCCAGGATTGGTTGAAGAACCTGGTTAATGCTTGAAAAGGAGACAGTGAGGGGATCCCAGAGTTACAGACTACTCTGGGAAGTCAAATACAAAACAACATTCTGGAAGAAGGCAGTCACAAGCAACTTCTGTACTATTACCAAGAAAATTGCATGAACAGTTGAGTTCAAGCAACATTTAACTTTTTTTTTACATGCAATAGTTTGCTTTCAGAATAAATATCAGTTCTTACCACACATAACTCATATAAAAAATGAACAGAACATCTAATAAGTTTTACTACATTAAAAATAAAATATATGAAACAACTCATTTTTTTCTATAACAGCCTGCATAACAGTTTCATTATAACGTATGTGAGAAAATACTTGTTCAATCTAACTATATTTTTGGATTCCCATTAAAAATCCATAATCTCGAACTACAAAAATAGGACAGCACTACACTTTAGGAAAAATACTAAGGAAAGTACTGAGAGTGAATTTAAGTAACTTCTGTTCCTCTTTCAGATTTCAGATGAATAATGGCTCCAAACAAAAATAAGATCTGCAAAGGGTAACTGCATGAGGAAAACAAACATTTCTACAATTTGTCAAAGCTGAACAAAATCTTGCTTTTTTAAAGAATCACAGACTATTGAATACAGGACACTTTAAGACATTTGCCTTATATAATCACCAGAATGGATAGTATACATGTTCAGCAGTCCAGGACAAAATGTTTATTCCAGTATATGTACCTTTGCGGAAAAAAGAAAATTTAGCAAAAATTATACATTTCTGCTAAAATGTTTGCCAATGTACATGCACATGGAAACTATTCCAGTAAGCAAACAAGTTGTTACATGGTTAATACTACTGTCTCACCTAGAAAAAAAAATCTATTGGTTATTTTTCATGGTGAAAAATGCAAAAAGAAAAGAAGGCTTAAAAAGTTACCTTGTCTATTTCTCTCTGCGTTGCGCCTTCTTTTTTCAAACGTTCTTGTTCCACGCATTTTGAATTGTAGTTTTCTTTTGCTTTTTGGAGCGCCTGGGTAATGCTCTGAAAGTTTTGCACTGCTTCCAAAGTTCCTGAAACTTCTTCCTTGGTCTGTTAAACATTGCATGGGTGTTAAATGCTACCGATTAACTATTTTATATAAAATAATTAAAGTAGGTTTAAGGAGTATACATAACCTTTTTATGAGCTTTTATTTGCTCGTCTCCATACTTCTGTACTTCCTTTATTAGTTCTTGCAACTTTCGAACAAGTTCTAGGTGACAGCTTGCTAGTTTTTCAGTTGACAATTTGAAAACATCCCAGACTGGTGCAAATGTCCTAAGAAGTGAAAATTTCAGTACTGAAATCATGTGAACGTTAGGCAATATATTAAGTAATGTTTTCATACAGCGTAGCATGTATTTTTAAGAGTCTTATTTAATTATTCCAGAAGCAAATATTGTGTTTACAGTTAGCCATGTAAATGTGTGTAAGGTTAGGTTTAGGATCTAAGCCCAAAGAATAACTGCCACAGCTACTTACTGCAATTCAATATAAATGAATATTCCGACCTTATTATAAAAATGAAAAAATATCATTCATAGGATTTTCAAATGTCTTTACATTTATAGAACAGAAGCCACAATAGTTACACGGCTTAAATTCAGCAACCTACTATAGATACAATAGTTCTGATGTTGAAAGTAGTTCAAATACAGTTGAGGAAAGGATCCCGTTCACTTCATAAGGTTTAGTTCAACCTCAAGAATGACTGAGAATTAAATGTTTTTCCTTGTGGAAATAATACAAATAGCACTATATTCCTAGCCAAAGTTCCAGCACTTGTATATTCTCTCTCTTCCAAGGCCTCAGAGAACCACTGTACATAATCACTGAAATTAGAAATACTAATGTGATTATGTTGGGAAAAGCAGAGAAGCCACCCCAATGCTTTTAATTTGCTTTTCAAGCATTTTTAATACTTAAAAGAGAATCTGAATGAAGCTATATTGCTATTAGACTCCATCAACTTACCCAATCTGTGAATAATTGCTTGCTGATTTGGCGAGCTTTGTCATTGACCTTGAATATGCCTCCTCTATTGTCGCCCTATTAAAAAAACAACAACTCTAACACTCAGCAAATACATGCAAAATCTATATAGTCCTTAGAATAATTAATTGAAACATTAGTCACTAATTATATTAACCTAATACCTAATTGAGCTCAACATCTCCAAGACTATAAACTTTGAAAGTATTGATATGCTAGAACAGTGTCACAGGCATGAAAAAAAAAAACCCTCAGCTGTTGCTTGTGATGTGTAAAGAAAATAAGCTCTGCCTCAGAACTTGGATATTAAAAAACTTCATTTGCTTGCAAACAAAACAACACACTCTCATTTGCATGTACAAAGCAATGAATGATCTACAAAGCCTGAGTGTCTATTTATAAAACAAAGAGCAAAATAGAACTAATCCAACTGTTGTTATGTTGGCGTAAGAAAACTAATACTCTGAAAATCAGATCAAGCTCAAATACTTATAGGAAAAGGAGGGATTTTTCATTCAAAGAATGAGGACTCAGTTTAGATTTCCATTTTCCCTCCTAATCTTTGTTATTATAATATCAGTTTTTCTCATGAAATTAGACTTAGTTTGCATCATTACTGTTGGTCACATAGCCAGTTTAGACTGGATTTGGCATTTTTATCCACCTATCGAGTCCTTCCCAAAGACCTGGGATAGGCATATGTTGTTGTCCGATGCTATTAAAGATGTCATCGCAGGATGTAAGTTGTTTCAAGTAAAGCTGCTTTTTGCAATTGACTGATGGTGATTTTGTCAATGCCAATGGTCTTCAAGTGGTACTCCAGATATTTTGGGATTGAACCCAAGGCACCTATTACTATTGGTATTATCTTTGCTTTCTTTTGCCACAGTCATTCTACTTCTATTTGCAGGTCTTTGTATTTTGTGATTTTCTCCAGTTCTTTCTCTTGTTTCAAGTAAAGCTGCTTTTTGCAATTGACTGATGGTGATTTTGTCAATGCCAATGGTCTTCAAGTGGTACTCCAGATATTTTGGGATTGAACCCAA